GGTTGCAGAGCTGGCCCAGCCTCGCCAGCCAGTGCCACACGTTGCGCAGGGCACGCGCTGTGGGCAGGCGCGTTGGGGACATCGCGGGGACATGGGGACGTGGGCACGGCCTTGGGGACAGGGGCAGGGGTATGGGGATGAGGATGGGGTTTTGGGGAGGTGGGCAGGGCCATGAGGATGAGGACAGGGCCATGGGGACAAGGACAGGGCCATGGGGATGAAGACAGGGCCATTGGGACATGAATAGAGCTATGGGGACATGGATCGGAGTTTGGGAGCTGGGACAGGACCATGGGGATAAGGAGATGGGTTCTTGGGGATGAGACACGGCATTGGGCATGAGGACAAGGCTCTGGGAGCTGAGACGAGGAGAGGGGACAAGACACGGGTGATGAGGACAAAGGCAGGGCCATGGGAACATGGGCAAGGGACTGGGAACGCGGGCAGAGTGCTGGGGACAAGGGCAGGGTGCTGGTGACAAGGCTGGGGCTCAGGGCCAGCTCGGCGCCGCACGCCAGGGCCTCGGCGACGCGCGACACGTTGTGCAGCACGTTGGCGCACGGCCCCTGCGTTGCCATGCCCAGCGCCAGCAGCAGCAACAGCATCTTGCCCTCCTCTGCGGGCACAGCGGGCGCCGGGGCAGTCGGGGGATCATAGAGGATGAGGATGAGGATGAGGATGAGGATGAGGATGAGGAAGGGGGTGCTTACTGGTGAAGATGTGCGGCAACGTGAGCAGCACGGTGACGCGCACCTTGACGGAGAAGGCCATGCCCAGTGCCAGCGCGGCGCCCAGGCTCACCGTGGTCACCAGGCAGTACCAGATGTTGTGGCTCTGCGCCAGCAGCACCAGGGCACCGTAGATGCTGCCCAGGGCCATGCCCAGGGCGAAGCCGACGACGCTGCGCGCCAGCTCCGGCACCGCGTGCTCCTCCCGCAGCGCCGCGCTGTGCCAGGGCTGCGCCACCAACTGCCGCCACCAGCCCCGCAGCGCAGGACCCAGCGTCGCCAGTGGCCCCATGGCTGGAGGGACGGGCTCCTGAGGCCTCCCAGCCCGGACGGCTCCGGATGCTCCGTGGGAGCTTTCTGCCCTGGCACCACGGCAGCCATGGAGCCAACGACGGGCACCGCGCAGGAGCCCTCGTCCCTTGGTGAGGTCCCCAAGCGACAGAAACCCCCCAACAACAGTGAGTTGTG